CAGGGGGGGGGGGGGGGATGAAAAGATTGCAGGAACGTTAGATTTACAAGGTTAAATGTGGCGTTAGGTAATTAAGACTTCCGTTACAGTAATACGTTCTGTTACTTAATACTAATCAGATATAATGTCATGACAAACGTTTATTCCTGTGATTTGGAGCGAGAAGCCTTATTGAATGAACTTTTGATGAATTCTTTATTATTATTATTTGACCATAAACAATGCTTTTACGAATGTTTATAAATTTTCTTCTCTTACTGGTGGAAGGAAACAAATTTGGCGTTCTTTAAAAAACTATAAGTAGTATGGAATGTTTTGGAACAAATTAATGAAAGTATTTGATGTAGTAATAGATTTTTTATTTTACTTATTCTCGATTTGTGACGAATGATCATAAGAAAAGATTTCCAACAATCTCCTCGCTAAATAATCTCATCATATTTCAAACTCGCCATCAAATTGCAAGAAATATTAGCACGACAGCCTTCAGAACCACGTTTCATCGTTCGTTCCCAGGCAAAAATATATATCCGAGGCTTTTCAACGACTTTCCTCTCGGAAATCGTAATAAGAGACTTAAGAGTTTTCAGGACGCATCTTCAGGGTTTCACGATGGCTTCACTGCGAATTCGTTAACCGCTGCCATCGCGGCTCTTTCCGTTAAAGAAGGAACATAAGCTTTTCACCTGGAAACCAGCAAAAAGCGGGTCGTTTTCGTGTCGATTCCGAAGAAATTCTCGTAATTACGAACATTTTTTAATTACGATACATTTGAAGCGTCATCCCTCCGAAATTGTAAAACACAAAGAAATTACAACAAATGATTAAAGTCACGATTAAAACTCGTCGAACGAATTTTTAAGATATTTCCCTTGGAAATCGTGACCTTAAAAAATTTTACACTCACAAATATTATCATAAGATATAAAATATATTTTTTAAATAACACGATAATAGATAAATTTCGAAATAATTAATAACAAGAGATAATATAATGAAAATATAACAATATTCTGTAGGAACATACTTGACAAATACGATTGAACAAAATTTGTAATTAGCAAATTTGCTTAAATGGAATATACGTATGAAAATTAGGATTGATATCGAACTAAATTTGGAGGAAATATTTAGAAAGTATGCTAGGTGCTCGATGGATTAATTAGGGGAAAATTAAATTTCTTAATAGCTGTTTCTATTAAGAAAAAAGAAATTAACCGGTCGTTTAATTAAACGCGCCATCAAGATTCGTTTCTTTTTTCCCTTTCTTCGCCATCCCTCTTACTTTTCCAACCCTTTCCACTCTATTTATTACTGAAACCAATTAGAACGAGCACATCTGGTATTTGCATGCTCTGGCCAATCAGAAACATCGCATTAAGCCGGGTAAACACCTAAAACCGAGAATCGATAAATTTACGCACCAGTCGCGACCAATTGGCGAGTGTGCATAAACATTTTTTCTCGATCCATCATCGTCAAACTAAACAGATTAAAAGAATAAATATGCAAGGTCTTTTGCTCCTATATTTCGTAAACATTTTCCTATAATTCTTTGTTTTTTAATTTTCTCTAACATTTTTATTTGTAAAATTCTCAAGCATTTAACCATGAAATTTAATCAATAATTATTGAATATAAATTAAAAGTGTTTATTTAATATGAAGTTGCGCTAGATTAATTACGTTGAATTTTTCATCTCTGCAATTATTAGGAACCCGCGGGTGTTATTGCTAAAATTGGCGTTGACTATCATTGAAATAGAAATATAATTATACGAGTTTATCTATCTTCATGATACCACTTTAATTATTATTATCATCCGTGTGTGTTAAATTTGGTTATACATTACAGGTCGATGGTTCGAGTGTTCGACGAGGTTTGTGATTTGCATCTCGCTGAAAATCTCCTATAAAATGATTGTCTACGAGAAGATCTAACAATCTGATACAATACCTAGAAATTTAGAGGAAGAAAGATAGAAGAAGTTCTGGCTCTAATCTAACACAAACTGCTTGCACAAAGTGATAAAACCTACCACAACACTCTTATTCCATGCAAGATCCAATGAATGACCAAAATACCCGAAAATTCAAAGCAAAAGGAAGAAGTATAGAAGAAAAAAGGAGAATACGAACGGAAAGCAGAAACACACGATGAAGCGCGTGATATCACATGAAACGGAACGCGAGTAATTGTTCCGCGGTCTACAAAGGCCGGTTCGTTACTGAAATTGCTTACTAATTAAGTGTAACGAAAAGAGAGGGAGGTAAGGACGAAGCAAGCTAGCAAAAAAAAGGGAAAGATAACGAGCAGGAACGTTGCCGGGCCGAGACAAGAATAAATAGCGCGCGCGGCTCGTTATAAATTTGTAGAAAAGTGCGTCGGGTGAATTGGAACGGATGAAAGGACGTTTCAGAGACTCTGTAGACCGCGAATCGTTTCTGAAGAGATTTAAAAAAAATAAGAGAGGAAGAGAAAAAGAGAGGGAGAGAGAGGGAGAAAAAGAAAGAAGAAACAGAAAAGAGAAGTAGAAAATAAATATGTATAAAAAGGAGAGGAAAAACACAGGAGGAAAAGAAGAGGAAGAGATGGAAGAAAAACGCGATAGCCGAGGGTTAAATGGCTCAGAGACTCCGGGGGAAACGAGTTTAAGAAGTTCCTTGGTTTGTTCTTCTGTTCGACGAAGAAATTTCCTCGATAGGATGGCTCGATCGTTTTAACATTTTCATCATAGGATATCCTCAATCGTGGCTGCCGTTCAACCGAACGAAGAAAGAGGAAAGTGGAAAGTAAAGACAAAGGGACAGATTGTTTATCGTATCATGGCACGATATAAGCCTTGAGTCATTACTTTGTTCGATTACTCATTTACTTTACGAGACAGGTTTCATTACGACGATGTTTGGATATAAGTCTTGAAAAGAAATTATTATGCGAATATTTTGAATAGATTAAGTAATGTTTTTTTAAAACTTAATGTTTGTTACTCCTTACGTGTATTCTTTTTCAGAACAGAAAGATGTAAATTGAGATTAATGGAAAACGTTTACAACGTTTGGAACAAATAATATTTGAAAAAATCAATGTCTACAATTGAGGAACCCAAACAAAAGTGGTATTCATGATGGTATATCTATTTATGTATGAATGTATAATCCTATATCTTTTGTAACTTTCATTTTCCATTGCTTCTCATATATTTCTATATAGACTCGAAAATATAGAATCGACATTCTAATTAGCGAAAGAAAAATATTTATAATTTAATACTATCTACATTTCCCTCTAAATATGACAGAATTGCATTTCAAAGAAATTTTCTCTTTATCGATCTACTAAATAGAATTAGCCGTCGAATTGTGTTTCATTTTGATATCCGAATCTTGATGTGTTTTCGTTACAATAGCGTTCCAAATATGACAGAGGAGGATAATAACAAAGGACGATTATGACACTCCTCGACAAAGCGACGTGACAAAGGACGAAGCGCCTCATTTGCGGCGCAGTTTGTTTCGCCAAAGAAAACTATTTAGTATTCCAACTAGTTCTAATAAAAGTGTCAAACGAAAAATTTTCCATCAAAGCGAAGAAATGCCACTGTAAGTCAATTTTAAATTCCTTAAATTACTTCCAAGCTTTATAGGGTGATTAAAAAGTATGGTCCAAAATTTCACAAACATATGACACTTATAACATACAAAATATGTAACTAATCAACATAGCAAAACCCACTGCAACAATAGAGAACTAAATTTTGCCGAAGATTAATAATTCATATTAGCAGTTTACTAAATTTAAAGGTTAGAATTTATTTCCGAAAAGAAGTTGCGTTAGCACCCGGGATAGTCAAACAGGATAGGATAACATAACCTACAAATTGTCAGAATTTACTTAACTCAAGCAAATTGAACGAGTCATATATACAAATAAACGTATATCTTCGAGTTAACTCTAAGGGTAGGTTAGGTTTCACGATCCACATAAAGCAAACAGCCATTGTTTACCCATAGACAATCGTTTCCGGACCAACTTGTACATCCACCTTCCCCGACTCGACCAAAACACGTTTGCTGGTGCACTTAACCCCTGAATCATCGACCGTACTTTTCTTCCTCCAAAAATCAATGATCTCTGTAGCTTCGAAAGCGAAATATTCGAGGAAGAAATAGGAAGAGAACCACTACTGAAATCTTCGTTCTTCTTTCCAGAAACAAATCTCGAAGGACCTAAGGCAAAGACCGTCCCTGGCTTCGCCGGCGGAAGGAGGAAGATGGAATGGCGACTTACCCCGGAACACGCCTTTCACGTGAGAATCCCCATGCTGCCCCCGCTTCGATTTTCGGCTGGAACTCGGAACGAATCTCCTTGGACGAAGATCAACGTCTGTTCTTCGTTACCGAATGACAAAGGTGGGTGGAAAGGGTCGACGAACGGTAACAGAAACGTGTGGACAGCCAGTGTGAGTTGGGGATGGTATGAGGCATGAAGAGCGTGACGGATAGGTCGAGGAAGATTGGCTGGTGGCCGCGACACGCGGACGTTTTTAACGAGGACCGTGCGCGAAGAACGTGTACGCGAGCACAACAGCGGCGACAGGAGGGAGCCAAGCGTACGACTGAATCTAGTACTCCGGTCTCAGCATCCCGTACGGCTGATAGGCCGTGCGCGCTGGACCGCCACTTTGCCAGGGGGTCGTGCCGCAGACAGAGAGGGAGAAGGATGGAAGCTGTTACCGCGCAAGGGGCGGGGGTGAATGTCTACGATCGGGCGAGTGGGGAGGGAGGAGAATGAGACAGAGAGAAGAAGATGAGAGATACGAGGAGGACAAACAAGAATGAAAGAAAGAGAGAAAGGAGAATGGATGTTGTGGCAGGAGGGAGGATTTAAAGCGAGAAGAGAGAAGAAGAGAGGAATATGGATGATGGTTTGGAAAGGGGGAAGGGTGAAGTTGAAGGGAAAATGGGGTTAGAGGGGAATGAAAAAGAGAGAGAAAGATGGATGGTGCAGAAGATGAAAGGAGAAGCGGAGGGAGGAATATGGATGCTATCGTAAAGGGGAGGAGGAGTGGTATTGAAGTAAGAGAGAGACAAGAATGTTGAAAGGTACATGGGGGTGGAAGACTGAGAGAGAGAGGCTGTTGATTGGAAGTCGAAGGGGTACCGTGAAAGAGCAATAAGGGTAGAAACTATGGAGAGGAGAGGGGATGATGAGGAAGAGAGAGATGAAGAAAGAAGTTGCAGAGGAGGGAAGAGGAAGTGAAATGGCACAGGCAGAGCGAGAAAGAGCGATGGATATCGTTGAGGGGTGGAACAGGGTTGAAATTGGAGAAAAAGAAAAGCGGAAAGGAGAAACATGGATACTTGATACGGGAGAATGAAGGGCAAAATTAAGAACAGAAAGAGATGAGAACTACTGAGTGGCGAAAGAAGAATGAATGAGAAATGAAGATAGGAATTGTCGAAGGGCAGGGATGAATTGAAGAACGGAAACAAACTCTTGAAGAAAGGAGTGAAACTGAATGTGAGAAGAAGACAAAAATGGAATGAATCTGAAAAAGGAAGTAAAATGGGAATGATCGAGTGACAGTAAAGGCAAGAAAAAGAAGCAATAAACCAAATTAAAGGTAAAATTAATAGAAGATGGAAGTTAGGATATTCATGTGAAGAAAGAGAAGGAAGAGAAGAAAGTGGCCGAAGGTGTATAAGCTTATGATGCAAGAGGATGAAACGTGGAGAAGCGAGGGGGAGATTCGAGCAAAAGAAGAAATTTAAATGCAAAGTAAGATGTTGATACAAAGTGTAAGTTCTTGTAAACGATGATAAATATCTTTGAACCATGAGACGCGGCTGATTGTAAACATCCAATGGAAAAGGAAATCTAAATGAAAGAGCACATTACGTGTACAAGCAGAAACAAATCAACCAGAAAAAGTGGAAAAAATAAAGAAACGGAAGAAATGCAGCAAATGATTCGTAATACCAAAAATTCCGAGATAGAAGCAGAAGATAGAAATGCGAAAGAAGTTATCGCACTAAAGCAATTACAAAAATGGGAGGTAGGCAGCAAGAAAATATAGATGACCGTTCAGCATTCTGAAGAAAAACACACTTAACAAAAAATAGAAAAGCATGAAAGAGCAAAAGATAAAGTGTAGTATCCACAGGGTTGATACAACATAGTATATTGGAGATAATGATTATTTACAACTGTGGAAAAAGAAAAAGAGGAAGAAGAAAAGGAAAAGAAGGGAACGGAGAAGGATTGCGAATTAAGAGAAAACGTGACAAAGTTACCGTTGCGACAGAAATAGAGATATAGCGAGAAAAAGCGAAAGAACGCAACGTGAAATAGAAAAGTGACAGAAAACCTATGACGCGTTAGACAGCCGAGAGAAACACGAAAGAGAATGGCAGTTAGGTAAAAGAAGGATAAACGAAAATATAGGCAGTGATGCTGATGGAAACGGACTGGCGTACAAGCAGAAAAAGGTTACTGCTTGAAATGGAAATGGTAGAGCAAGTATCGAGTGAATAAGACAGTAGGGAGAGCAACATAACCTCAAACGATGAGGTTAATTCAAAATTGGAAATTATAAATTTAATATTAATTTATAAATTGATAATTGTGGTTAATTAAGAACTAATTACAGAGAAATAATAAACACAAAACAGAACTTTCAAAGCAATTAATAACTCGCATGATGATAGAATCTAATAGATACAAATTTATTTAAAATGAAGGTGCGTAATAACTTTTTTATAAATAAAACAGTTTTAGATATTTCATTTCTAGTATAAAAATTGATAAATGGTTTCAAAGATTTCGAAAATTCTAACATTCGAATTTCTTCAAATTTTCATTTGGCCTCCATTCTTCGCTGTGCAGTGCCGGAATAAGACAAAGAATATAAAAGACAGGCAGTACCAGCGAGGAATGAAAGAGAAATTGAAAATGCAAAAGCGGATAAAACATTAGGCACGGAGTACCCGCAAGAAACATACGTGTATCAAGAGGAGGATGGAAGAGCAAACGTGGAGAAACGCGACACAAAGGGAGAGATCAAGGGAAACAACGGTAGAGTTGAAAACTGCGTTCAAACAACGAAAAGCGACGAAGGTGAAAAGGAGACGTAAAAACGACGAAACGCTATGTGCTGAATGAACGAAACGAAACTACGTGACAGAGACAACGCATGATTCTGAAACGAGGACGGAAATACCTGTATACTTCTGTGTAGAAACAGGAAGAGTTACGAAACGTCGACTAGGAACGATGGTCGAAGAGCTCCAGGCGAGGATAGAAGCTAGCTAACGCGATGAACAAAGAGGAATAAAGATACGAAAGGGGGTTGGAAGTTGGCAGAAAAAAAGGGATAGAACGAGGGATAAAAGTAGGAAAATAGGGGAGAACAGAGAAGGTACGTGGAAACAGAGATACTAGGCTAGGGGCTCACATAGAGGGTAGTGAAGAAGAGAGATGGAGCATGGAGGAAGATAAAAGGAAGGTCGGGGGAGGTTACGATACAAATAGAGAAGGGTCGTACGTAGCGGGGGGAAGCGTATACGTGCGTCGATGAACGCGTGGAAAGATAAAAGCGGCTGTATAGTCCTGCCTAGAAGTAGACCTTAGCGGTAGAAGGATAGAACTGGATTTCAGGATGAAGTCTGAAGAACAGAATAAACAGATACGAGGATAAAGAAAGGTGGAAGAAGAAAGTTCTACAATGAGTAGAAATGAGATGAAAATCGATCTGGACCGAGGTTATTCATCTTTCTTGCTCTACAGTTTATTATGTGTGACAGAGCCGAAAATCGTTTATTAATTATAAAACAAAAGGATTATTCCTATATTCAAATTTTATTTATAGAACGCAAATAGAAACATTACTCGTGAGTACCTTAATAAATAGATCTGACCTAAAACTTTACGTTGCGTTTCTGATAGAATTTTTCACCTTCAAAGCTTTTGCATAAAAACATTTGTTTGTTGAGTTACAGAATTAGTTGTTAAAGTAGTTGTAAAAAGGATGTAAGGACGTAAGATACTAACCATCACTGGGGCATAATCGAAACACCGGTAACCGGTCAGCTGGAAAGGAAAAAGCTGTCAACACATGAAAAGGAAACGAGAAACAGAGAAGAAGGGGTCCCAAGCAAGGAAAGAAGATACCAATGACCAAGAAGAGCGTAAGTGGTGATGTGAAGATTCGCTAGCGGGCCGGAAACCAAGGCTCGCGCAAGAAGCCGACTAACGTAAGAGCAAGAAGAGAGAAATTAAACGGCGCGTTAGCGAAAGGAAAGGACGCGAACGGACGTAAAGGACGAAAGTCGAGGAACGAGAGTGAAGAGGTAGAAAAAGACGCATATATCTCAGACTCCTCAGACATGAAGAGTAGAATAAAACGAAGAAGGATAGAATAAAAAAGGAAATGGGGAAATAGAGACACGGTGCTAGAGGAACCGGTGTAATAGCGAGGAAAAGGAGAGGATAAGGGATCTGAGATGAAAGAGGACAGGATAGACCAGCGAGATTTTTACGCTAGAGAGAGAAAGGAGTGGAAGGAGAGAGACATATCCACGTGCGGGGGCAGTATTGATCTGTTCGCGCAAACTCCTGACTCTTACGTTCGCTCCATGGCCAGAACCGTGTCTCCCCTTCCTCCACTACTACACACCAACCCTGGACCAAGCCTACGAATGCCCGTCGACGCCGAAAGTGCTCCACTGGCATCGACTATGACCCTGGTCATCGTCCTCCACGCGTTGCCTAGCAGGAAGGAACTGTAGCAGCACGTGTTTTGAGCATTTTCATCAAACGACGCTCCACGCGCGATCCGCGTCAAAGGAAGTCGTTAGTTGAACTATTTCTCACGAATCTGTCAAGCAGAAGCGAAAGTGTTTGGAGGGTTGTAAACTGCTGGTTGACCTTCTGTTGGTAATTGCGTTGATTGTTCGTCCAGAGAGCCTGAAACTAAGTACTTGTTTTTTGGTCAGTGTCGGATGGAAATTGATATAAAGATGAAGCGCCTAGCGTTTGGAGTTCAGGATGGATTTAATATTGCAGTCGATGAGATTGGATTAAATTAAACACTTTAATAGTAATTTATCTTTTATTAATTAAATTAAATTAGACATTTTAATAGTAATTTATTTTTTAATTACACATACATTTAAAATTAAAAGAACGGAACTGTAAATAGCTAATTCCCTCATAAACTAATTCTCAGATACAACAAATCAAATCAGAGTTTCAAACTTACAGGTGTTATTCGTTAAAACAATTACAATGAAAACGATATCTTCAAATGACAAAATCGTTTATCAATCAGTCCATGTTAATTCACACGATAACAACGACTTTTGGGACACGGAATCACGCTAAGATGATTAATGCATGACCAATCGGACATGTTGATAATATCATGACGCGGTTTATTAGCAGTTCACGGAGAAACGCAGAACCATGATGGGGATAAGTCTGCGGGGATATGTTTGTCAAGCGAATCTGCGAACATACTGAATGCTTGATTTAATGAGACGTGTGAATGTCGTGCAGAATATTCCATTTCCTTCCGTCCGTCCCCATAACTTCCACAACTATACATCTTATCATCATTCTACTCGTTTAAAAAGGAAAATGGTATTTCCTGTGACATATTAATAGCATTTCTATTTTAGTTAAACAGTATAATTATTTATATTACAGTAGATTTATTATTAGTAGAATAAAAATTAATCGACGTTAAAGATAATCGATATGTATACGTAAATAATTATCCTGAAATTATAGCGTAAAAATCCAATTTTCAAACATTGACCGAACTGATTGAATGTTATTAATCGGATAAGAGAGTTGAAACGATAAGTGACCGATAAAAATCGGATTCTTACTATATATCCAAATACATATCAAGCACAAAATGAATGGCACTCTAATCGTAGCGATTACGTTGCGTTCGCATTGAACCAATTTTCTTCGCCCACAAGAGGGACGATTTAAATCAGATCTGTCTGCATAGATCATTTGTCTATTATAAGAATAACCTTGCTTGCTCGAAACACGATACGATAGTTTCTAGGCACGTTAGCTTGAGGTCTCTAAGGAGGTTCATTGCCAGTCTTCCTCGTTTCATTTACTCTTATTTCTCGTTTAATATCCCAAGTCCGCGACGTGTCCCGGAATCGTTATCGATTTCGTCCGAAATCGCGCTCTAGCTTGTAAAATAAAATGTTTAAACGCCGTCGCTGTAGAGTTTCGAGCAAAATTTCGCCCCCGCGGCCAATCCACAAAGCGGATATTTTTCAGCTGCCGGTAATTGGTGGCACAACGGTATTGCTTGTTTAAAGTTAACGAGCTTTTTTCATTTCGAAGAGCAGACAGCAGTTCGGAACGGAGAGCCAATTAAATACTGATGGGAGATCGAGCAGGAACAAGTGCTCGAGAAATCCGCGGAAAATGTTGCACTGAGAGAGGGACGATCGAAAAGGAAGATAGAATGAAAGAACGATAAAAAAGGAAAGGAGATAGAGCGGAAACATGAAACTGTGGATCAAGTGGAAGTAGCACAACCGAGAAATTGAAGAGGAACGATGCACGATCTTTCGTTGTGGCATTGAAAAGAAACAGAGGTAACGATATTCCCTCGGATAAATTATTCCATTACTGTAAACATATTGGAAGTTATTCCTCTCCGACGACGATCGATCTTCGAAAACGCCTATGAATTGATACGTATTACGTTGTATACGCGAAAAAAGAGAAATCGCTCCACCTTTTGAGAATTCTCATTTTTATTTTGTTTCGATGATCAAGTAAAATCATCAAAATTTTACATAAATAATGCTATCTTTTTATTAGTACATGATATATACTGTTTATCAAAATTTGGTAATTTTCTAGAAGAATTTCGTTTTTCTAATTAAGATACTCATTGAATAAAGAACTAAAACGAAAGGTATGTAAAACCAATTCTACGACTTTCATTTTCGACTCAGCCTGAAACTCTAAAAACTGTAAAGCTAATTTCACGAAGCTTTTTTTGTTTAATTCATTTGTACACTAAAGTAAATTTTACGCTCTATTCGATTCCTTTTAATTAAATTTAGTTCTTAAGTCTTTAAAATTACCCTTAAAATACATCAAGATCAACCTTTCTTTTTATCTTTTATGATTTAGATAATGTAATAACATCTTTCCAAAAATAAATACTGATTTCCGGTTTTAGGCGCTTCGAATATTGATGATATGTATGAGAACAGATCCAACATCATGCAGACCTTTATCGTGACAAGTTACGTCAAATTACTAGAAACGAAGAATTCTTTAACATAAATTAGCAACTTGATATAAGAAAATTACCTAGTTAAAATCGTAGGACGGGACGAAACAGTTAAGTTATTCACGCACGTTCACCCGCTTATCGTAATAAAACGACCCACGACTAAAGCCTGTTCGAAATCAATTAATCGCTCAAGGCCAGTTTTCCCCACTACAGGTCTAAATATTATCCCCACTTGTGTATTCCTATTGCACATGCGTCACTGATAAAATGAGCGCCAAGTCAAAAACATGCTTCTCTACCATTTTCTTTTTCATTGTTTCAATCTAAAATATTATTTTACATCATTATTGCCGACTTCATCTTTCCATTCTTGATAAGGCAATTTATTTTGAGATCTGTTTCAAAAATGAACAATTATAAACGATTTTAATGTCTTACAAAATAAAAATAAAAAGACACAAAACATGAGGGTGGAAATACTTGTGGGACCTTGAGCAAACAATAAGATAAATTGAGATAACAATGACTAAATTTAAGCATTTCAATAACTATTTGCTTGAAACAAACTTTCATTATTCTATGATTCATCCTTCGGTGTAAAATATAGATCTCTGATCAGTGTTGTGGTTGTAGAAGGCATTTGTGTGAGTGCTTCTTCATCTGGGTATTCAGTGGTTGCAACCTTGCGCGCTGTTATCGTTAACATCCTCAATAAATCGGTATCACGCCAATGATCCTGGATTACCTCACACAAAGTCTGTATATACCATGTACCTTTTTCTGGATCACGACGCGAGTTAAAACCTTTAAACAAAATAAATACAATCAAAGGTTAGGAAGAATTCCACTGAAGAATTGGCGATTAAGAGCAATGCTATGTAAGATAACCACTAGGTAGCCTAATCCTACAATTTTTGGTTTCCAGTATCCCATAGATCAAATCCAAGGTAAACTATTTGTAATTCCATAAATAAGCATTAATCATAGTATACAGTTGACACAAAAGTAACATACTCAAAATTAAATATCTTGTATGAAATACGTACTGTTATGTACTGTTAATATAACTGTTTTCAATCCTTTTAACTATTCTTAATATTATTATTGCTATAATTATTATATTATATTATATATTAATTTCTATTCCAAATAATTATTTTTCAAAGGTCGAAGTTTAAAATTTCGATGTTTTCGTGTCATTATTTTTAAAATCCATTTACCTTCCACGGTACTGGAAGCGTACAAGAAGTCTGCATGAGAAGGAATGTTGTATATTTCCTCATTCTTAGACGAATCTGTAACAGATCTTCCCCGAACAGGTTTTTCATTCTTAGTGCCTCTACAAGCCTACAAAAGACGATTGTTCGTATAACATTAATAATATTATGATAAGAACATATGAAATATGTTACATTGATATTAAGAGTATTAAACATTTTAGAAATAGAGTCGTTTCTTTAATCTAGATGTCAGGTATCAAAAACCCGCAACGAGGTCCACTAATAAATCGGTATCACATACAAATTATAAAAACACATATCGTCCTGATCCGAGATGTACATAGTACATATAATAAACGTTAATGTATTTCAAAGTATTCTCTCAACTTTCATATGCCATTCACCTGTATGAAAAATAGCTTCGGCTTACTAGCCAACGACGGACAATTGTCGGCAGTGAACTTCTTCCAGATGTCTCGAATCTGATATGACACGTCACGCGCTCTCACCCAATTTTCCTCAGAACCGTGAGTCAGTATAAAGAAACAGATGCAGTCACAATCTTTGTGATTTTCTTTGCACACTAAAAAACAATCGATATCGATGATACCATACTTAATTACATCAAACAAGAAATATAATGAACAGAAATGAGGCTTACATACATTCATCAACTTTCTCCATAATTTTACTATAAGACAGATTGTGACAGGGATCCAACTCGAAACCCAGGGAACGAAAGGTACGTGATATCATTTTCACGTCAAAATTAGATCCTTTTCGTTCTGAGCCCACCCAATCAAATAATACCTGATTGAATATCACGCATTTACCTCGTTTTTTATGATTCATAGAGTATCTTGTCGCATCTCTTTTAGTAGCAAACCTCATGATTTCGATTTCGCTACGACACAAACCGATTCAATTAAAGTCTTTACGTTTCTGAAAATAATATGAGCCGAAAAAGTATAATATTTGAAAGAATTAAAGATGCATTTACCTTATGGCATTTTCCTCCGGTTGATGAATCACGACAGCATCGTGCTGATCGAATTCCTTCGGACTTTCCCCAGAAAAACTCTGAAAATAGTGAACATTGCTTTACGAATCTTTTTATTTCACTTCTTCTTATTTCAACGACTATATATAAATATTTAAAACTTCTTTCGTCCCTGATTTAGGAAAAAGATGACAAAAATCTCTATGATCGAATTCTTCTACACGCCAAAGTATATTGCTGAATACACAGGGAGTTCCAACAACGGTAGTACGATCTGAGAGGGGATCATTCTACTCTACTCTACTATATTTTTACTCTACTCTATCTTATTTTTTTAAATTTATTTACTACAGAAAGAAAACGAAAATATAATTAATCATTAGATACAGGAAATGGAAAACCTATCGCTCATGTAAGTATTAATTAGTAAATTAAACATTGTATAAGAATGTTGCCTATAATTCCAACCTTGCTGTGCAGCTATAAATGTTCATGAATTAATTACAAAAACTTGGAAATTTATTAACTTTCATACTGCCGAATTGATTTCTTAAAATGTATTAGGAGATACCACAACCATGAGAGGTATCTAGTTCAAATAAAAATTTTACCGCCTACGATCAGCGCCATCTATGATTTTAGACCCGAAGCTCAGAAAAGTAATAGGAACACAGAATAGGCGAGGAGGTCAACGAAAAGCTTGTCACGTAACAGATAAGGACAGAAAGGGGATAGAAAAGAATAGAAGGGCTCCGACAGTGAAAAGTTAACAAATTACTTAATTTCCGTAATTAATTTATGAACTTTTATAATTGCATTGCAAAGCTGAAACTTTAGGCAACATTCTTATACAATTTTAGTGTGGAATTTAACGCTAATTTGTTAGTTATTAATTATTGTTTGATAGCGTCCATGATTTCGTAACAACGACGGTCACGATCTTCCGTGAAAATATTTAATACTAAACAAAACTATAATCAAAATGTGAACAAAAATTATATGTGAACATGCTCTAGGATATCTTTTATATAATGCGTGCATGAAGTTCATAAATTGATCAGGCAGAAAATAGTAATTAATGACAAACTGTTGGCATGTATGTCAAGAATTCAAACACCCTGTGCAATGATCACTAATAATTAATTAATTAGGGACAAATTTATATCCAAAATTATATTGGAAAGTTCTTGAAGGATCTGCCTGTACGATGCAATTATAAAAGTTCATAAATTAGTCACAGATATTGAATAATTTGTGAATTTTCTACTGCCGAATTGATTTATTAAAATGTATCGGGAGCACATAACCAGAGTTAGTAAACTATTCAAGTAACATCAGAGCCATCTATGTTCTCTTTGCGGAACTCGAACTTCGAATCTAAAATCATAGATTTTAATCCCTCTAAGTCGACTACTGCATTGATCATACACGTAGTATCGATCCTCGATGTATCGTTGTCCGGCACGTGACCACTTTTCTTTCTCTTCCCGAGAATGACATTTTTATCGTGAAACGTGCATAGAACGTATTATCAGACAAATGCGCGATAAGCAGTGATAAACGGATTTCCGCAACGCGAGATAACAGAACCGTATTCTGGGTTTGATTTCCTGTACTTTCCGAAATCCTTTAGTTTCTAAATTACATACGACGAAGAACATCGGAGGGAGATTTTTGAGAATTTTTCAGAATTTTATGAGTATTACACGAGATTTAATTTTCAAAACCGTTCGTATAATAATGTTGCTTGTTGACATCCGTGCTATTACTTTAAGAACAAAAAAAAAAGGAAGATTAATGTTAACTAGGATATTCTGCTAGGATATTCAATAGCAAGGTTAAAACGAAATACATTTATATATATTAAACAAAAGGTAGAATTTGGTTTAAAAACGCATAAGATTAGATAAGATTAGAAGTTAAGTGCACAAATGTACAAAATGTAGAAGACAACCGGAAATCTTTCAAAACTGAAAGGTAGGAAATAAATAAATAATAAATAAATATTAAACAAAAGAAACAATACTGAAAAATATCTTGAAATATTTAAGGACAATGTAGATACATATACACATGTGGTCAATTATATCTTTGTTTCCTTTGAAGTCATGCTTAAATTAGTCAAAATCTAAACAAAGCGTTATACAAATCTTTTAAATGATACAAAACTATAAAAATATTCATAAGAAAATATAAAGAAATATGAACAGAAACATGATTTAACAAAGAAAGATAGAAAAATCGTAATTTCATTATATCTATATAACAGATATAAATAATCATTAGACATGATTAAACCGCTTAATATAGTTATTATCTTGATTGAATAAAAATACGGAAGGAAAGCTATTATCGATAAAGGCACGTGTCTCATTCACCTGCACACCTCATTGACCTTCAAATAATAAAGAGCTATTAAAATATTTGTGTTAAATATTTAAATAATTAATTTTAAAACATCAGTTTAAAATCATCGCTAAAAAAAAAAAAGAAAAACAGAAAACACTGTTGTAAAAAGTTGAATATGTGTATCTACCGAAGAGATTTAATTCGGTTTTAATTATTATTTTTTCATATAGGGCAACAAAGGTATTTTTTATTGGTAGCTCGTTTTTGATTCGTATCATAAAATATACGTAAAATACCTGGTGAAAAAAAAAAATAATCAAGCTCAATTTTGAATTAAAGATATAATTTACTGATAAAATTGCAGTGTAAATTTAGAAAAAAAGAGATGTTATGAGTTTAATAAAAAGAAAGAAATTTCTGATAAAGATATGCACAAATGACCTTGCTTTATAATTATCGAAATGTATTAAATTCGATGATTCATATTTTGATTAGTACATGTTATTTTTGGTAGAACTATAAATATTAGAATTTTTTTTTAATCTAGTATCTATTAAACCAATAATAGGAATATTTTCATAATGATATTTTTTAATTTTTCATATTCTTTTATTTTCATATGTTCACTTTTTAAATGTGTCCATCTTTTCACAGCTTTCCACTTTTTCGCCCTATATTTTTCACGAGTTGAATATTAATTAATAGCATTTGTATAAGAAAAATAATTAATTGAAAAAAATGCAATTTGTAACATCATGATAGAAATTCAATAAACGTTTAGTTTCTCCGGCGTAAAAACAATTTTTAATATAGACTAAAAGCACGAACTTTTTCCCGACTGGCCAACTTTTCAGCATAAACTCTAATAATTGAATTGATATTCTAAATTGGATTATAACTTTTAGTATTTCTTAATAATTTTTCAATTTGAAAAAAATTTCATTCAATTTCGTAGTCGATCGACATGAGTTTTCTTTGTTCTCGTATCTGTCTAAATCACTTATCTTGAATGGCATTTAACGATAATACATATTAGCTTTCCTTTGTTTTCATTGTTTTTCTAGTTTACTTCCTTTTCCGACACTTTTATGATTCAAAACGATAACAATTGAAAATTTCTTAATACCTATAAATGTGGTTGAAGAAAAAAATACATGAAAGGACGTGTAATGTTTGTATAGTTCCAACAATTTTAAAGTAAAAGAAAGATAAATTTTGGAATTTGTAATTATAGAAATCTTGAAAATTAAAAGAAATTTGTAAATCACTATAAAATTGAATTGTACAACAAAAGAATTGAATTGTAAAATAAACAAATTATAATTATAACAAAGTGAAACAAATAAAGGATGTATGCAATAGTCTATTGCAAATTCGTAGTATTCGAAATAAAAAACTTTTACCACATCTTTTTCTCGTAAATTAGCAGTTAAATTCTTAAATATCAATTATCCATGGCATTAAACTTCTGAACACTAGAGAAAAGACGTAATTCTTGGTACTTTATCCATCAAAACTGCAAGTAACAATTTTTCAAGAAAAGTTCACAGAAGTAACAAAAATAAAAAATTATTGAAAAAATATTTAAAAAAATAGTGATTAATCTAAAAATATTGGTTATTGCCGATATCCATATCTGAATCAGTCTCTCTATATCGATTATATTATCACAACCGTACGATAATAGTTTTGAAGTCGTCATTTTACCAAATCAAGAAAAAGCACAATTGCACATTAAACATTCACAAACTGAAGCAGTAACGTCGTTTAACATTGTTTTTAATTTTCACATAATTACACATTAATTATAAGATACGAAAATCGGATATGCAACTTGTTGCAAAGTAGACGGGTAAACTTGCACTTTCCACAGGAGGACACAAAGCGTCTCAAAATGTAACGATACGTTTACCTCGTTGCCTCCATCATTAAAATTTGACTTGGCTTTAGACGAACGGATCGAATAAATAAGCTTAAGCAAATAAAGACAACAGTATATAATTGAGTACAATATAAGAATAAACATGGCGTACTTCTGACTCTTCAGTTGGTACCTTCAACTTATATATTATAGATAACTGCAAAACAGCTTATCAAACTTCGATCATTATCGGATGCGTTGTTTGAAGAACCCTGACCATTTACTGCTTTTCATTTGCAGCGATAATTAAAGGAGGATATTGAAAAAGACCATTTTTGGCATCGCCTGGAAATGAAAACTTCCTTCCGGATCTTTAAGAGCATCTTCCAAGGAGAAAAAATTTCCTTTATCACTTTTATTGAAAATTGACTTTTACTGAACATTTTACTGGCAACGAAACTGCATCCACGGGATTCAAATACTTTAAAATATTTTGTATAAATATTAATAGAAAATAAAGTCGGACTGGAAGCCGTTCTTGCACACCTATGTGGATGCAAAGTTAGAGTACATGATGTTGGGCGCTGCTCCCCCGTAGCAATGCTTACATGGTATTTCGGCTCACAAGGACAATTCATATGGTGGAGGACGGGGGTTCGATTCCCGTCCATAGTTAGTAGTTTTTTCCAATCTATTTTTTATTTTGTACTCATTTTTCGCCTTGAAAACACTGTAAATAAACAATTATAAATAACATTTCTTAATAAAAAAATTTATTTTTTACGCTTTCTTATGCTAGTATATATTTATTACAAAATAATAACAATATTATGCAAGAAAAGCACTTTTCTATAGCAATCTTACTTACTACAGAAAGAAAACGAAAATATAAATAATCATTAAATACAGGAAATACAAAACCTATCGCTCATGCAAGTATTAATTAGTAAATTAAACACTGTATAAGAATGTTGCCTATAATTCCATCTTTGTTATGCAGTTATAAATGTTATAACAATACTAGAAGCAAAATGTGAACAAAAATTATATGTGAACATGCTCTAGGATATCGTTTACATAATGCGTGCATAAAATTCATAAATTAACTGCATTAAAAATAGTTATTAATGATAAACAATTACGATCTTCAGAAATATTTCGACCACGATGAAATAAATATTAATAAACAATTAATTGAGAAGAAATTACTATCGAAAATTATATTAGAAAGTTAATGAAGGTTGCGCCTTTACGATGCAATTATAAAAATTCATAAATTCATCATAAAAATTGAGTAATTTATTAATTTTCGACTGCTGAATTGGTTTATTAGGAAGTATCAGGAGCACATAACCAATGTTATTAATGAGTTAGTAATCTATTCAAAGAAAATCAGTGTCATCTATGATTTTGTACTCGAAACTCGGATTAGGTAGAAAGAACATAGATTGCGCCTAGAGGTCGCCTAAATCCACGTGACATGGTGGACGAAATAAATAAAACAATAAAACGACATAAATAACTAACACACGTTCTCTTCTCATCCCTTTGGTTACTTAAAAAACCCATAAAGTTTTCTACATTCTTTAATAAATTCAGCCCAAACAGTGGTTTTAATTAGACAATCAGCATTCATTTCTTTACCTGGCAGACGAGAAATATGCAAAGGTATGTCTTTACAACACAATTATAAAAGTTCATAAATTAATCACAGAAATTGAGTGATTTGTTAATTTTTCTCCTAGTGGAACAGGAGAGTGCATAGGAAATGAGAACAAATTGGCAAAAACGCTGAAAGCATTGTTGTATCCATGCAGGTGTACCTTTATCACGCAAAAGAATGTACGTCTTTGTATTAACATAACCTTTAGTTGTAATTAAATAGTGTAAGTTATGAGCCATTGCTTTTCCACCTTTTATTAGTGATAGCAGAGCTTGGTTGCGAAAAGACAATATTCTGTTGAAATAAACAGGCATGTGCAACAGTAGAAAAATATTGGACTCATGGAATATCACCAGCATAGAGCCATTGGATACCAAGAATTATATTTTATGGCAAGAAAAAATGGAAGCAGCAATACAAATATGTAAGGTATGATATGTCTATTAGATTCTAGGTTGGCTAACCATATGACATACAAGATAGAAATCTTTGATGGTCAAATAAAGATTCAGAAAATGGAAATGGTTTAGGCAGACAAAAAGGAATAAAATTAATTTAGGTGATGGCCTCTTATAACAACAAGATATAGAGAATACAGTGAGATTGAAAGGTATGTTGTATTCCTGATCTAAATAAATATTAATATCAGTTGTCAAAGTCAATGATCATCGCTAATATGTTAAGTTGCAGAATGATGGAGCTGAAGTATATAAAGAAAAAAGAGAGCTTCGAATAAAAGGAGTGAGAAGAAGAAACGCATATTATGTTGAATCAAGAAACAGGAAAGAGACAGCATATGTATCAACAGAGAAGGATGTGTGGCATTGACATGCAAATATGAGGATCATTGAAGAGATGGAGAATGAATACTTGGTAATAATTATAAAAGTTAAAGATAAATTGAATATAGAGTGTAAATGCTGCATTAAGGCCCAAATGTGTAGAAATATCTATAAGAACTTGAAAACTATAAAAGCTGCAGGAATAATAGGGCTATGGCACATGGAATTGATTGGACCAATAAAGCCAATGTCAAAAGGAGGTAAAAGCTACATCTTACCTGCTGATGATTATTCGAGAAAAGAACCATTTGACTGATTTATAAATGACCACAGATTTAATATGAAATATTATTGACGAAGGATTTTTTTTATTATAGGAGACTTACAAACATGAGTAATATTTATATGCAAAAGCCAACTACTAAGGGTATAGTAATAAGTATTAGTTAATAATATTTCAATAGATTGTATACCTGTTTTTAAAAATTTAACCAATATACAATATTTACTTTCTAAATTTCTTTATTAATATATTAAATAATTTCTAATTTGAATTACAATAGTAAGTAATAAATTGTAATAAATTTGATTTTAAAAGTATTTTACATTAATAAAACTAATATATTTGTTATAACTAGGTCATAAAAAAAACAACTGTTGGTAGTATTGAGATAGAATTATTGGCAAAAGAAACTTCAAAGGCATATTATTAGGATGACACTATATTTTATAAAATTCTCAAAGGATTCATAACACAAGGTGGTGATCCCATAGGTACAGGAGAAGGTAATAACATATATGGAGAACCATTTAAAATGAGACTATATTTTAAAATAAAATGAATTCCTTCTTTATTCAAAAATAATTATTGGATATATGTGTTTCAGGACAAATTTCATACAAGATTACGTTCTTTCGCAAGATTTAATTGCTATGGCTAATGCTGGAAAAGATGATAATGGTTCCCAATTCTTCTTTACTCTTAGTTCTTAGTTCTACTGGAGAAACTATATATAACATGCTTGAACTTGAAAAAACACTTGTAGATGAGGTAAATTTAATGTTTGCAAGAAAATATATCAAGAATTGATATAAATATAATATTTCCTCTGTTTTGTAGAATGATAGACTACTTTATCCTCCAAGATTGATATAAAATATAATATTGAACAATCCATTTTCTGATATTATCCCAAAAATAATAGTACAGCAAAGTGAAGAAGTAAAGGACAATTCAAAAACTAAAACAGCAGCAGCAAAATTAAAATCATATATGTTTGCATAATTTAGTCTCGATAGTATTGTTTTTTGCAATGAAAAATTTTGTTACAGAGATTTCAATCTTTTATCATTTGGTGAACAAGCAGAGTAAGATGAAGAAGAATCTGATATTAAATAAAAAGTTTAGTGATAAGGGCAAATCAGCTCGTGATCATTTAACTGATCCAAAATTAAGCTCTCAACCAGCTATTGAACTACCTGGACTTGCAAATAACAAAAGAAAGGAAGACCATAGTAGCGATTGGGAAAGTGATGACGAAGTAGAGACTCTAACTAGTAGAAACTAGTAGAAAGAAGAAATAGAAGTTATAAAAAAAGAAAAAGAGTTAGTTTATTGTTTACATTATAATTATATTATAGAAAGTAGGGTTTTTTATTGACTGTTTTATATTTATATTTTCAGAGCAATGAAGAAAGGATAAAAAATAAATTGAGAGATACAAAAAAAGAACCAAAGAATTATGTCGTTAACAATTAACGTGCATATGTGAAACTTTCAAAGTGAATAAAAAGTACCTAAGCATATAACCATCGTAGTTTCATTTTATTTTTTACCAAGAACAAAATCACTTGCCTTCATCTGTGAATTCATGTTCGTCTGTAATTAATTCATCAACTTTTGAAATTTTATCGTAAAGGCACAGCCGTAGAAAGCTCTCTAATATAATACTGGATATGAATTTGTTGTTATTTAAATCATTATTGGTGATTATTGTACAGAGTGTTTAAACTATTACCTTATACTACTAGATACTACTAGTTTGTCTTTCCATTAATATAATGGAATAATTATTAATTCCAGTTCATGAATTAATTATAGAAATTACGAATTTTTCGCAACAGAAATGCATTTATAATTGCTTTATTGATATTATTAAATATAAGAGACATCGTTTGATATTCTATCGAATAAGTATCGACATCAATACTTTGTCACATAGCTATTTCAAAGATGCAACATTTTCCCGCTACAAAAATACCTAGCGTATCCGGTTGCAGCCAACTTCCAGTTGGCGGCAAGCAAGCATACCGTTAACAAATAGTGAAGTATTCTCACGCGTCAAAGTGAAATATTAAATCTCAAAACGTTTCGTGAAGTAGTGATATTGCTGATTGACGTTATAATTATTTTACGAAGTTCAAGATTACTAGCTGTGAACATTTATTCGGTGGTAATATACTACATGTGAAACAAGGGATGTTGCATAGTGCAAATCATATAACGACACATATGAAAAATAAAGTGGTGTGAGTGCGGGATCCTATAATACTACCGCATCATCCGTTACAATCCGCTGTAGAAGATTCTAGATTTCGATTGCCCATTCGAATATTTAATCAACATTACTGAATAGCAAGCTTTTTAATAGTTTTTCCAATTTTTCGCCAATCTTGACATTCAATTGCAACATAGTTATGTATTATCGAATTTACATTCTAAATTTTGATTGTGGATTAAAGTATTTCATTACTCCTGCAGAGAATAGATTGTTCTCCAAACCAGTAGGGCAATTATTTTACAATTGAAGGCGCGTATATGACACAAAGTTAGGGAAAAGCAAGTGCTTGAGAAATCATTCTACACAGTTTACTTTTCTCGTCTATATTTCTGAAATTAGGTCTCCCGGTTAGGTTTTTTTCGTACAACAGCGTAGAGTGATTTCTTCCTTAACGGGATTAGATATTTTTTTTCGGTTTCGAGCGTGCGTTTTCCAAAAATAGAGGGGCAAGTGCCCGCGACTGTCAGATCGCGCTGCGCAATTTATTTTTTGGCTTCTAGTTTTTGAATTAGGCTTTTTGAACCGGATTTTTCCACTGATTCGCGTAGAGTAATTTATTCCTTAACGGGATTGGATATTTTTTTTCGGTTTCGTGCGTGCGTTTTCGAGAAATAGTGCCGAAAGTGTGAGTGGCTCTTAGATCGTGCTGCGCAATTTAATTTTTTGGCTTCTATCTTTTGAATTAGGCTTTTTGAATCGGATTTTTCCACTGATTCGCGTAGAGTGATTTATTCCTTAACGGGATTGGATATTTTTTTTCGGTTTCGATCGTGCGTTTTCGAGAAATAGTGCCGGAAGTGTCAGTGGCTCTCAGATCGTGCTGCGCAATTTACTTTTTGGCTTCTAGTTTTTGAATCAGGCTTTTTGAAACGGATTTTTCCACTGATTCGCGTAGAGTGATTTTTTCCTTAACGGGATTGGATACTTTTTTTCGGTTTCGATCATGCGTTTTCGAGAAATAGTGCCGGAAGTGTCAGTGGCTCTCAGATCGTGCTGCGCAATTTACTTTTTTGGCTTCTAGTTTTTGAATCAGGCTTTTTGAAACGGATTTTTCCACTGATTCGCGTAGAGTGATTTTTTCCTCAACGAGATTGGATATTTTTTTTCGGTTTCGAACGTGCATTTTCGAGAAATAGTGCCGGAAATGTCAGTGGCTCTCAGATCGTGCTGCGCAATTTACTTTTTGGCTTCTAGTTTTTGAATCAGGCTTTTTGAAACGGATTTTTCCACTGATTCGCGTAGAGTGATTTTTTCCTTAACGGGATTGGATATTTTTTTTCGGTTT